ATAAATTATATAAAGCCAATCAAATTGGTCATGTATATAAATTTTGTGAACTATGCCAGGATATGCCACTTGCAACAATCCAAACCTTAACCACAGTGGGAAAAACTTGTGGATATAACTTAAGCACATCCCATTCAGCCATTACCTGTGCCTTCTATCCAAAGCTTCCACGGAGCGATGTGGGTTTTAACCTGAAACATTACTTGAGTGACAGCAATTGCCAAGCAATCAATCACAATCCTTTCTTCACATTGTAATAACTAACCAGCTTACAGATCTAGACCGCTCAAAACTTTTGCTGCCCTCAAGTGCTGTTTGGAGGCTTTAACCAAAGCCTTGTTCATCTTGTCAGTGAACTATAACCAGTCTGTAAAGATTTAACTGTTTCTTAATGCAATATGTTATCATGTAAATATATACTGTACCTGTAAAGAGCACCTGTAGGACTGCCAAAAGAAAAAAAAAAAGTACTAACATGGATTCTTAATTCTCTAATGAAAACTCTAAGATTAAACATGACATGATGAACTTGGCTCCGACTTCGGTCAACGTTCCACTAACCCTGTGTGATGGGAGAGCAGAGCTGCATCTACATAGGTGACGAGGTATGCAAGTGCAAGCCTTAGATCGCCATTTCAGTCCAGTTGATGATCCAACTCGCTGAGAACTTGAACCCGATTGAAATACCACCTTGGCTTCAACGTGTCATTCCCGTCACATCATTTGTTTTGCTAGATTAAATATGGCTGCTAAGTCTATGTTTACAGTCTTTGCCTTCAGGTTATAAGATTTTCAGGTGACGTTCTCTGTATTGAAGAAAAGTACTAGGTATTTAACATTTCTTCCTTGCTATTAAGGTCCATTGTTGTATAAGATTATGAAAAGATTTGGACCTTGGTAGCTGCAGGATGGACTGGATTCATTGAATCCCCTCATTATTTTGATCTTGTATCAAAGTGTGTGCTTTTTCATGCCAATAAACTAAGAAACCAGTTAAGAAATAGTTTTTCTTTCATATTTACACTCGACCTAACATTTGGGAAATAAAAAATATATATATAAATTACCTATTTAATAGTATTGTTAAAATTACATGTTCTTAAAAGAGCATATCCTATTCACAAATCATAAAGGATACAAAGATAGTTTAAGAAGAATAATATATACAGAACAAGGATGGTTTTCAACCAATAGAGAAAATTCATCAATAAATCACACAAAGAAAAAATGCATTTCACAATCTTTAACACAAAAATGACATTGTAGCAAATTTGATATCCTTATAATCATTAGCAAAATGAAGGAAAACCATTAGTAAAGTTTATAAACTAAATAATAATAAACAAAATTAAACATGACACTTATAAGATTAATTCACATACAAATTAAGTTATAAACTCAAATATTACTTTCCTGACATAAAATTTGGAGTTCTTAAACAATATAAGAAATGCAGTCTGATCTGATTGTCTTGGTTGGAGGCTAAAAGAAAACAATGGAAAATTATCAAACTTTGTGTACCTGGTAATAATCTATTCTAGTTCATTTGGGTTGAGTGGTCAACTCAAATTCAACCGAGTAAATATGAAGCTATGCGCAAGAGAAACTAAATGGGACAAAATATCATGTACAGCACCATGTTGCACATGCACACGGAATCAAATAGCTTATTCCAAAATTAAAATACAAATCAAACAATAAACAATTGTTCAACAGTAGGTGCTTGGAAGCCATAAAAATACCTTAAGGGCTCTAAGATAGGCTGCTTAATTGGTCAGAAATGGAAACTCAGGTGACAAAGTTGGATAAGCTACAGGGATATTGGGAAGTATTTATTCAGTCTCAGTGGTCGAGAAGTGGAATGATTCTGGTAAGAAAGTGAAGGCAGGCTCCATTCATAATTTTAAGAACAGGTACTATATGGTACTATATTTTGATAGCCTAACTTAATAATAGAAAAAATATTAAAAGAAAATCTTGTTTTATAACAGAATATACTGAAAACACCCAGAACAGTATAATTCCACAAATGTTGCTCTCCTGTCCCTCAAAAATTAGAGCAGACTTACACATCATACACTATGAAAAAACTTTTTTTTTTGTTGTTGTTGGGGGGGGGGGGGGGAATAAAGTCAGGGATCAATAAACAGTCAGGCTATACTCAAATATACAAGTAATATTTAAATTCAAGCTTAATTGTAGGTGATACGTATGTGTATTAAAACATATCAAAATAATCTCTCTCACACATATATTGATATCTTCCATAAAATAACTGCAGGTACCTAACATGATGCAGCATGGCTACCAAGTCTTGGAAAACAAAATGCAGCCAAACTTTGACAACAAAAGTGAAATCAGCCTTTATGCTGTAAGCTGAGTACAGTATTATACATAACATTATTAGTGTCCTCTTAAATAAAAAAGTATTGCTATATAATGCAAATTTAACATCTGCAACACTGAAAAACCAGTTAAGATCCATATATAGTAGCAGAATAATTACTGAGGAGACGGTTTGCTCGGGAAGGCTTATTTCATCTGATAGGTATCCAATGTCTCAAATAAATATACAAGTATTACATGGGTTTTATTTCACTTCTCTTAAACAGTAAACCTTATCGTTTTTTTCCACACTAATGTACCAGTTGATGTGCAACTTTTAGTGAGAGTGTATGTGTATTTGTGTGTGAGTATTTGTGATGTGTGTGTGTGTGTGTGTGCATGCACATGTGTGTGTGTGTGCATGTGTGTGTGTTTGTGTGCGCGCATGGTGTTGCTGCGCTGTGTGTATTGTGTGTGTATTTGTGTTTTGTGTGTGTGTATGTATTTGTGTGTGGTATGTATTTGTGTGTGTGTATTTTTTGGGGTGTGTATGTGTTGTATGTGTGGTATGTATTTGTGTGTGTATTATTTGTGTGTTTTTATTTTGTGTGTTGTTGTGTGTGTGTGTGTATTTGTGTGTGTTGTGTATTTGTGTGTGTGGTGTGTGTGTGTTTTTTTGTGTTTTGTGTATTGTGTGTGTGTGTGTGTGTGTGTATGTGTGTGTGTTGTGTGTGTGTGTGTGTGTTGTGTGTGGTGTGTGTGTGTATGTGTGTGTATGTGTGTGTATGTGTGTATGTGTGTGTGTGTGGTGTGTGTGTGTGTGTGTGTGTTTTGTGTGTGTGTGTGTGTTTTTGGTGGTGGTTTGTGTTGTTGGTGTGTGTGTGTGTATTTTTGGGGGGGGGTGGTGGTTGTGGTTGTGTGTGTTTTTGTTTTGGGGGGGGGGGGTTTTGGGTTTTGTTTTGTGTGTGTGTGTGTGTGGTGTGTGTGTGTTGTGGTGTGGTGGTGTGTGTTTTGGGGTTGTGTTGTGTTGTGTATGGGGGTTGTTTTGTGTGTGTGTTGTATTTGTGGTGTTTGTGTGTGGGGTTTATTTGTGTGTTGTTTTGTTGGGTGTGTGTTTGTGTTTTGTTTTGTTTTTGTGTGGGTGTTTGTATTTTGTTGTGTTTGTGTGTGTGTTGTTTGTGTGTGTGTGTTTGTGTGTGTGTATTTTTGTGTGTGTGTTGTTTGTGTGTGTGTATTTGTGTGTGTGTGTGTGTGTTTGTTTGTGTGTGTGTGTGTGTGTGTTGTGTGTTGTGGGGTTTTGTGTGTGTGTGTGTTGTGTGTGTGTGTGTGTTGTGTGTGTATGTGGTTTTTTTGTGTGTTTTTTTGTGGTTTTTGTGTGTGTGGGTATTTTTGTGTTTTATTTTTGTGGTGTGTATTTGTGTGGTGGTTTTTGTGTGTGTTTTGTATTTGTGTGTGTGTGTATTTGTGTGTTTTTTTTTGGGGGTTTGTGTATTTGTGTGTGTATTTTTGGGTGGTATGATTGGTTGTGTATTTGTTTGTGGGTGTGTGTATGTATTTGTGTGTGTTGTTTGTGTGTGTGTGTGTGTGTGTTGTGTGGGGGGGGTGTGTGTGTATTGTGTGTTGTGTGTGTTTTGTGTGTTTTGTGTGTTGTTGTGTGTGTGTTTTGTGTGTGTGTTTTTTGGTGTGTGTTTTTTTTGGTGTGTGTTATTGTGTTGTTGTTTTTGTGTGTGTTGTGTTTTTTTGTGTTTTATTTTGTGGGGTATTTTTGGGTTTGTGTGTATGATTTGTGTGTTTTTTATTTGTGGGGTTTTGATTTGTGTGTGTGGTTTTTGTGTGTGTGTGTTTTTTTGGTGTTTTGGTGTGTTTTGTGTGTTTGTTTTGTGGTGTGTGGTTTTTTGTGTGGGGTGTGTGTGTTGGTATTTTTGTTGTTTTGTGTGAAATTTGATGTGTTTTGTGTGTATTTGTGTTTTGTAGTGTGTTTTTTGTGTGTGTTTGTTTTGTGTGTGTGTATTTTTTGTGTTTTTTGTTTTGTGTTTTTGGGGTGTGTTTTATTTGGGTGTGTGTTTTTTGTGTGTTTTTGTGTGTTGTTTATTTGTGTGTGTGTGTGTGTTTGTTTTGTGTTGTGTGTGTATTTGTGTGTTGTGTGTTTTGTTTGTGTGTGTGTGTGTGTGTTTTGTTGTGTTTTGTGTGTGTGTGTGTTTTGTGTTTTGTGTTTTGTGGTGTGTGTGTGTTTTGTGTGTGTGTGTGTTTTTTGTGGTGTTTTTTGTGTGTGTGTGTGTGTGTGTGTGTGTGGGGTGTGTGTGTGTGTGTTTTGTGGTTTTTTGTGTGGTGTGTATTTGTGGGGGGTTGTGTGTATTTGGTTGTGTGTGTTTTTATTTTTTTGGGGGTTGTTTTGTGTGTGTGTGTTTTTGGGTGTGTTTTGGTTTGTGTTTTGTGTGTTGTGTATTTGGGGTGTGTTTTTTGTGTGTTGTGTTTTGTGTGTGTATTTGTGTGTGTGTGTTTTTTGGTTGTGTAGTTTGGGGTTGTTTTTTTTGTGTGTGGGGTTTGTGGGTGTGTGTATTTGTGTGTGTTGTGTATTTGGTGTGTGTGTTTTTTTGTGTTTGTGTGTGTATTTGGGTGTGTGTATTTGTTGGGGTGTATTTGTGTGTGTGGTATTTGTGGGGTTGTTTTGTGTGTGTATTTTTGTGTGTGTGTGTTTTTGTGTGTGTGTGTGTGTACTTATATGTATGTATTTATATGTATACATATTGTATATTAAAATCTGTTGTGGTAGGGAGGAGGAAGGGTGGGGACACAGCCTTGGAAGGGATGGACGAGAAAGGAGGGGGGGGGGGGTAAAGGATGTTTCGAGTGTTACCATTTCCCTCTTTTTTGGTGGTCACCCTACCTACAGAAAATGGACAGTATTAATAACATATATAAAATATCAGGAATGCATTTTTAACCCTTAAACTGTCCAAACGTAGATTTACGTCCAAGTGCGGGGGGCTCCGAACGTAGATCTACATTTTCTTTTACATGCTTTCAAATGGGCAAAATCAAGGTTGGAGCGCTACGCGCGTGAACGTACATCTACGTTTGGACAGTTTAATGGTTAATTACACAACAGAAGTCAATGTGTTTCTCAATACATGACAGGTTCTGTGCTCTACATCTCTATCATTAAGCAAGGATTTCATGAATTCACTATTGTGATATGAGCTCTGTTTCAAGAAAATATGATTTCCATACCATATAGACACAAATGAACATACAACACACAGGAAATGATATTAGGCTTATCTGCCAGCAATTTTATAATAACGACCACTTAGAATGGAACACAATTCACAAAACAGTACTTATTACATGAGGTACACAAGCAAAGAAAATCTTTCAAGATGTTGGTGCTGCAGTCTACCTTTAAACAAATGTCAACCACACACACTATTAAGGCAGAAGTGTGTGTTTGTATGTGATAGTATTGCAAGATAGTTTAATATATGATGATTCAAAGACTCTAGCAAACCTATCTGACTGACAGTGAAGAAATTTTGGGCCTCATGGATTTGGAATTAAAAGCAATGCTGTTGTCATACAATCAATGATTATGGTATGAAAAGCCATTTATTTACTGTGCTTCGGAGAATATATTTTGACAATAACCAAACTGTTGTCCAGAGGGCTGAGGAAGGGTTGTTGAGGTGGTTCGGACATGTAGAGAGAATGGAGCGAAACAGAATGACTTCAAGAGTGTATCAGTCTGTAGTGGAAGGAAGGCGGGGTAGGGGTCGGCCTAGGAAAGGTTGGAGGGAGGGGATAAAGGAGGTTTTGTGTGCGAGGGGCTTGGACTTCCAGCAGGCATGCTTGAGCGTGTTTGATAGGAGTGAATGGAGACAAATGGTTTTTAATACTTGACGTGCTGTTGGAGTGTGAGCAAAGTAACATTTATGAAGGGGTTCAGGGAAACCGGCAGGCCGGACTTGAGTCCTGGAGATGGGAAGTACAGTGCCTGCACTCTGAAGGAGGGGTGTTAATGTTGCAGTTTAAAAACTGTAGTGTAAAGCACCCTTCTGGCAACAGTGATGGAGTGAATGATGGTGAAATTTTTCTTTTTCGGGCCACCCTGCCTTGGTGGGAATCGGCCAGTGTGATAATAAAAAAAAAATAAAAGTAACCAAACTGCAATGGAAAAGAATTGACTACGTTATTCATCCTACAGTTTTCAGGAAATTGGAGATGAAATGTAATACAATTTTGCTAGTCAACTTTCTCATAAAGCTACTGTATGCAGTACAATGTTAACGAAAAAAGTACGTCCAAAATTTGAATAGTGTGGAAAGGTCTTTATATGTTACTCAATTCCAGATGCCTTTTTTTTAACCATACTCACAAAAAAAAATCATACTATATAGAGGCATCTTATAAGAGAACTGACTATCTCAGATTTATGGATTAGATGTTAATTGTTCCAGTTATAATAATGTGACTTAAAATTTAGTAAGCAAATCCAGAAACATGTGAAATGTATTTATGTATGCTTAAAAAGCAATAAAATAACCATCCCAGTTCATTATTGTTCTTCACTGTGGTTGCTAATTTAGACTAAGTACAGTATAAAGTCTTGCCCTGAAAATTCAGTCAGTTTAAAAATATTATCAATGGCACTATTCAGCACTCGAAAATATGTTAAGCACTGACTTTTACCTCCAAACCTCCTCCTTAATGGATGGAGATGTTTATCGCACTCCGTTGCAGTTGGTCAACATATTAACTCGTAAACGGTCCAAGCAGACCTATGTTCACATGTGTAGTGCTACAAAAGTAGATCTAAGTTTTTTTACATATTTTCAAATATAACAAAAAAAAAAAAGTAGATAAAAATTTTTTTACACATTTTCAAATGTAGAAAAACAAAAAGAAGATCTACTTTTTTTACATACTTTCAAATGTTGAAAAAACGTATATATACGTTTGGACCGTTGACAGGTTAACAGTACGAGAAAATTTAATATCACTTTTTCACTTGTACTTTTTCAAGTACTGTATTACTTAATTTAGTATTGCTGTTAATAAACGTGTGGCTATGTAATAGGCAGGTAATTAATAATGATTATAATAGTACTACAAAACATCCGATTTTAATCTGGTTTCAAGAACTAAAACTAGTCATTGTAATTTATATATGTTACAGTGCCACCTAATGATAAATCTTATTAATTTTCATTAAAGTAAAATTAGCAAAATATGTTACAAAAATTGTCTAAAACATTACACTATAGGTGAGAATGATCTCAACATTCACACTACTTTCTGCTCTATGGATATTTACACAAAAATATTCACATACACATTTTCATTTTCTAACCACCTTTGTCGCTGTTCCAATGTGACACTGGTTAACCTTTGTTGCAAACCTGAGTGAATTGAGAGTCTCGTTGTAGCAAGACTCCAATGGAGAAACGTTGACAAACATTAGAGTCTTAGAGTTGCCACCAAGACAGTTTTGTAGAAGGTGGGTCAGCTTTGAGTTTCTGTATGGTATGTGGCTTAGCTGTAAACAAAATTAATTGCATTAGACTACAATAAGATATATATTTACTATTGAATAGTACACAACTTAAAATTACCTTGTTAAATTCATCTACTCGTATCTCACTACTCACTTCACTTAAAAAAAAAATTAAGATTGAAAAATGTTGCATACCACAATGTGATGTTCAACTTAAAGTCAAGGAAAACTACCACTGAAAGAGCATATGATCTAAAATTTAGACAAATTATACTAAATTTATGAGCAAAATTACAAGGTGGCTTTAGGGTAAATTCTTGAGAATCTATTAGCAAAGAAATCCAACATCATGAAAACTGGTACATTACAATAGCCACCCAAGATGAATGAACTGGTATCCAAAACAGATAGTGGAAAATTTTTTTAACAATTGTCAATTTTTTTATCAATTCATATGGAATATATCTATGCCCTTTTTTGGGGGGAGTTGGGGGGTTTTCTATTCCACGGCTCAGCTGTGGACCACAGTATAAGAACGTAAGAAAGGAGGAACACTGCAGCAGGCCTGTTGGCCCATACTAGGCAGGTCCTTTACAATCCATCCCAATAACAAAACATTTACCCAACAAATTTTCAAAACTACCCAAGAAATAAGCTCTGATAGCTCTATCCACTCGTATGCAAATCCCACTCAAATCAAACCCCTCTCACTCATGAATTTATCCAACCTAAATTTGAAACTACCCAAGGTTTTAGCCTCAATAACCCAACTAGGTAGACTGTTCCACTCATCAACTACCCTATTTCCAAACCAATACTTTCCTATGTCCTTTCTAAATCTAAACTTGTCTAATTTAAATCCATTACTGCGGGTTCTCTCTTGAAGAGAGATCCTCAAGACCTTATTAATATCCCCTTTATTAATACCCATCTTCCACTTATACACTTTGATCATGTCTCCCTCATTCTTCGTCTAACAGGTGAATGTAATTTAAGGGTCTTCAATCTTTCTTCATAAAGAAGATTTCTAATGCTATGTATTAATTTACGCTGAATGTTTTCTAACGAATTTATGTCCATTCTGTAAAATGGAGACTAGAACTGAGCTGCATTATCTATGTGAGGCCTTACTAACGATGTATAAAGCTGTAATATAACCGGTGAACTTCTGTTGCTTACACTTCTCGACATAAATCCCAGTAATCTGTTTGCCTTATTACGTACGCTTAGGCATTGCTGTCTTGGTTTAACCCTTTGAGGGTTTTGGTCGTACTAGTACGTCTTACGCGTAGGGGTTTTTGACGTACTAGTACGTCTTACGCGTAGGGGTTTTTGACGTACTAGTACTCATAAATTCTAGCGGCCTCAAATCTAGTGGGAGAAAGCTGGTAGGCCTTCATATGAAAGAATGGGTCTATGTGGTCAGTGTGCACAGTCTAAAAAAAATCCTGCAGCACACAGTGCATAATGAGAAAAAAAAAACTTTGACCATTTTTTTTTAATAAATCAGCGACTTTGCAGTGTATTTTCGTATGGTATTTATTGTTGTATTCTAGTTTTCTTGGTCTCATTTTATAGAATGGAAGACATATTACAGAAATTGAGATGATTTTGATGGTTTTACAATGAAAGGTGCCTTGAAATTGAGCTCAAAGTAGCAGAAATGTTCGATTTTTACCAAACTTCAAAAGTAAACAAATCGTGCCAAGCGTGCAATACACGTCAACTGGTGAGTCTAATATTCTTTCACAAGTGCACCATAATATTTATACCATTTTTTACACTAATGCAGTAGTCTGCATAACAGTAAATCTTATATTTTTTGTGAAAATAAAATTCAAAGTGGAAAGCAAAAGAATATAAGAGGGGCCTTGAGACGTGACTAATGACTAGAGGAAATGTCATTTTAGTGCCAGGAATGTCTTTCTTGTTTATTCTGGACCCTATTCGGAAATTGGCATCTTTTGAAATTTGTGTGAAATTGGCAAAATTGCTAAATTCTGACCACTGTACTGGATAGTTGAATTTCATAAATGGGTGGTTTCTTGCACCCATTCGATAGAAAAAATGGAGTTCTAGCGAAATATTCATGTTTTTTTGTCGACTAGTACAGTGAAATTGGCCGAAAATGGGGCTCAAAGTGGGCAAAATAGCCGATGCGTAAACATCGCCGAGACCGCTAACTTTGCGAGAGCATAATTCCGTAAGTTTTCTATCAAATTTCAAACTTTTGGTGTCTTTATGATCGGGAAAAGATTCTCTATCTTTTCATAAGAGAAAATAATTTTTTTTTTTTTTTTAAATTTGGCCGACCCTGAGAACGAGTTTCGGAGAGGGCCTGTCGACCCTCAAAGGGTTAAGGTTGCTGCTTCTCATAACCCCCAAGTCCTTTTTACAATCTATATGGCTAAGTTTTACAATACTCACGAAATCATAATGACACGATTGCAAACAAACCATACCACGGGCGGGATTTGAACCTGCGGTCAGACTCTCAAAACTCCAGACCGTTGCGTTAGCCACTGGACCAGCTAGCCACAATAAGATTCGTCCAACTAGGTATTGTGGCTAGCTGGTCCAGTGGCTAACGCGACGATCTGGAGTTTTGAGACTCTCTGACCGCGGGTTCAAATCCCGCCCGTGGTATGGTAAGTTCTACATTATTTAACTTACAAGTGCTAGGGTTGTGGACACTCCCGAGCTTCAGAACCTTGAATTTATCTACATTGAACTGCATCTGCCACTTTTCTGACCAGGTATTGAGTTTGTCTAAATTCTCCTAAAGTTCCCTGATATCTACGTTTGAATAAATTATCCTACCTATCTTTGTGTCATTGGCCAATTTGCTCATTTCCCTCATCAAGATCATTGATATATATTATAAACAACAATGGGCTCAAGACTGATCCCTGTGGAATGCCACTTGTTACAGATCCCCACTCGGATTTAACCCCATTTATGGACACTCTCTGCTTCCTGTCTGTGAGCCATGACTCGATCCATGAGAGCACTTTTCCCTGAATGCCATGAGCTGCCACTTTCTTTAACAGTCTTTGTGGAACTCTATCAAAAGCCTTACTAAAATCTAAGTAAATAAAATCAAATTCTTTATCATGATCAACAGCCTCAAAAGCTTTACTGAAGAAAGTTAATAAATTAGTTAGACAAGAACAGCCTCTCATGAATCCATGCTGAGTATCATTAATCAGATTATGCTTATCCAGATGGCTTCTTATAATCTCAGCTATAATTGACTCTAGCAATTTACCTACAATTAAGGTCAGGCTTATTGGGTGGTAATTTGACGGTAACGACTTATCCCCTGATTTAAAAATAGGAATTACATTAGCCATCTTCCACATATCAGACACTAAACCTGTTTGAAGAGATAAATTAAAAATATTAGTTAATGGTTTACAGAGTTCCATTTTGCATTCCTTAAGAACCCTTGAAAAAAGCTCATCAGGTCCCGGCGACTTATTTTGTTTCAGTCGATCTATTTGTTTCATAACCATTTCACTAGTGACTGTGATGTTACATAATTTATCTTCTTCAGGCCAACTATAAAAATTAATTACTGGGATATTGTTAGTGTCTTCCTGTGTAAAAACCAAGAGAAAATAATTATTTAAAATTGAGCACATTTCATTCTCTTTGTCAGTAAGATGCCCATAGTTATTTTTAACCCTTTGAGGGTCGACAGGCCCTCTCCGAAACTCGTTCTCAGGGTCGGCCAAATTTAAAAAAAAAAAAATTTATTTTCTCTTATGAAAAGATAGAGAATCTTTTCCCGATCATAAAGACACCAAAAGTTTGAAATTTGATAGAAAACTTATGGAATTATGCTCTCGCAAAGTTAGCAGTCTCGGCAATGTATTACGCATCGGCGATTTTGTGCCACCATATTGAGTCCCCAAAATTTTTTCGGCCAATTACACTGTCTAGTCGGACAAAATAATCATCATATTTCGCTAGAACCTCTATTTTTTCTTTCCATTTGAATGGGTTTCAAGAAACCACCATTATAAATTTCAACTATCAGTACACTGTTGGTCAAATTTAGTAATTTTGGCCACTTTACACAGAATTTCAAACAGTGCCAATTTCCGATGGCACGATGTCAGAATAAACAAGAAAGACATTCCTGCACTAAATTGACTCATTTCCATCTTAGTCATTAGTCACCGTCAAGGCCCCTCTTAATTTCTGTTTGTTTCCATTCTTGAAATTTTTATTTTCACAAAAAATATAAGATTTACTGTTAGACAGACTACTGCATAAGTCGTGATTATAAAAATGGTAATAAACATACTGATTGGTCACTGGCAAGAATCAGACCTCACCATTGACCGTGCATAATTGCACCTTGGCACGATTTTTACTTTTGAAGTAGGTTGGTAAAATCAAACACAATTTCTGTTTCTTTTGTACTTTGAGCTCAATTTCAAGACCTTTCTATGTTAAATAACCAGTCGAAATCATCTCATTTTCTGTAATATGTTGCTTCCATTCTTGAAATGATGACCAAGAAAACTAGAATCAACAAGTAATCCATCGATTATATCATGCAAGTCGCTTGATTTATTAAAAAAATGGTCAAAGTTTTTTTTCTCATTATGCACTGTGTGCTGCAGGATTTTTTTTAGACTGTGCACACTGACCACATAGACCCATTCTTTCATATGAAGGCCTACCAGCTTTTTCCCACTAGATTTGAGGCCGCTAGAATTTATGAGTACTAGTACGTCAAAAACCCCTACGCGTAAAACGTACTAGTACGACCAAAACCCTCAAAGGGTTAAGGGGACCTATCTTATCTCTAAGTTTTGTACTATACATCTGGAAAAAACTTTTTGGGTTAGTTTTCGAATACCTAGCAACTTTAATTTCATAGTCCCGTTTAGCTTTTTGTATCCCCTCTTTAACTTCCCTCTTAATGTCAATACAGTGGACCCCCGGTTAACGATTTTAATCCGTGCAAGAGGGGTAATTGTTATGCGAAATAATCGTTATGTGAATGAATTTTCCCCATAAGAAATAAT